TTTTTTTTTTTTTTTTTTTTTTTAAATTTTTTAACAGAACGTGCATGAAAAAGAATGTAAGTTTACAGCGAAGGGAACTTTCCGCCTCTGTTCTTGACCATCAGCATGGCCGCAGTGACGTCAGCTGAAAACCAGCAATTACTCCAACACTAGAGAGCTTTAGATTCAAGGACGAGAACGACCACGAGAAAGACATTTAATTTTAAGTTTTCTCGCCTGTTCTCTAGAATAAACACCCCGGAAAGCTTTTTTCACCACAAAAGTTAGTGCGCTAATTTCCGTCGAAGGAGGTAAAAGCCCTCTCCCGATCGCTATATAATAAAATGTCTAACATTTGATAACTTATTTTCGCCATTACGACATTCTTGCTAAAACTCGTAGTAGAATGACGAGGGCTATCACATTTTCCCGCCAAAATGACGTTGTTTCTCGCACGTGTACTAATTAGTATTGGGAAAATCTCGTTCTCGTGGTCGTCCTCATCGTAGAATCTAAAGCGCTCTACTATTAAATTTTGTTAGACGTATTATACCCAAGTGCGATGGTAATTGTTCATTTACAGTATAAAGTGCCTATGGCTTGGGATATAGGTAAAGAATGATGGTTAGATAATACATGGTGATCCCTGATATTTTATGTGGTACAGGATGTAATGAACACTCACTTTAGAATCGCTTGAATAATACATGTACTTTATACCATGCAACGAAAAGTATATGTTTTTTTTTTCGTATTTGCCCGTTGAGGTTGAGTCGATGACATGTACATGTTAATATTTATTTCCTAAAATTATGTACTCTAAGAACACGAACTACTGCGCTTAACGCCTTTTTTTAATGACCAGTAAGCACTTTTGAGAGGTCGTTAAGTGGTAGGAAAAGAGTTGAATCGAATCCGTGCACGTTTAACTAGTTTCAATGCAAGTATATTTCAACAGCGATTAACAGAACTGGAGATACAAAGCAAAAAATATTCACTAAACTCTCTCTTAAAAGACAGCTCCATAAGACGGACACGTAGAGTTGCTCCCTGCGTTGGTCCTTACTCCCATTATTTGACTCTCTATAATACGGACATATCGGCTCTTAGAAATACACTTAATTATGGTCCCAAATGTGTCCTTCTTAGCGAGATTTGGCTGTATAACAAATAGCATAGCCGGTGACGGTGACAGCATCGTTAAATGAATAAAATTTTAATTATATACAGCCTGCTAATTCTAATGCTAATTATGTAGCCTGCTGCAATGGCGTACTAGACAGCGTCTTTATGACTTTAAAATGTTAAATTTTTTTTAAAACTTCCCCTAATTCTTTTTAAATGTGGTCTTTTGCTCGTTCCAGCTAATGCCATGCAAAGAAAGACTTTCTGTCATCCTTCTGTGAAACGCTTTTTCGATAGTATCCCCGAAACAGGAACCCCACCCTCAGTGCGTCACACCCAATCTTCTTCAAAGCACTCACTTTCTTGCTTAACTGCAAGGACGTTTTGCAAAGCAAGTCTCTCGCGTTTTTCAGTTGAGATACTATACACATGTTCTTGGCTTAGCGGCATGTTTTCTAGTTTCCACTGTGGTTGAAAAGTTGTATGATTCACTTTTGTCCTTGTCCTTTCGTTGTTGATTTTCGTTTGTTTTTCCAAGGCAAAATTGTCCTCAACTTTCGTAACAGATGCATCTTCTGAAGCAAAGTTGTCAGGCTCAGGGTTGTAAAAGTGGATTTCCTCAAGTTCTTCGGACCAATGAACGCTTTTTTTCGATTTGGTCGATTTGCCCCTCTTAA